TTTAAGAATGTAATAAGTCCGAATGGAATCCGATGCTAATCTCTCGTTTTATGAGCTTCATGGGTATCCCAAATTTTGACCATTTATGGGGAGGATTCAGAAAGAGTGGACCGATACATCCCATCTTCACATCAGATATTGTGTTAGTAGAAATAATGGCTTGTGTGGAATACAAAGATAATCGGATGCTTACTTCGGATTTTATGATCGTTTAGGTCAATCACAACTTGGAACTTTGAAGGAGTAGTCCGATCTTTTCCATCCTTAGAACAGATCTTGTGTTGATGGAAATATTGAGATGTACCAGGTCTGAATAGAATCGGATATTAATTTCGCGTTTCATTGATATTCAAATTTTTGACCCTTTGTGGGGGAGGTACCAAACGAAACGGCCCGAACTCTTCCATCTTTATAGCAAATCTTGTGTTGATGGAAATATTGAAATGTACCAAGTCTAAATGGCATCGGATATTAATTTCGCGTTTTATGAGCTTCATGGATATTTAAAATTTTGACCCTTTATGGGGAAGGTACCAGAAAAACTGATATATTCCTTCTTCGCAGCATATCTTGTATTAGTAAAAATAATGGGATATGAAGAGAACTGGATGTTTATTTCCGATTTTATGGCCGTTTTGGTTATTCAAAACTTGGACCCATTGTGGGGGGGGTACCAGAAGGAATGGTTCGATCACTACCATTTTTCTTACGGACCTTGTGTTAATAAATATATTGGGATGTGCCAAGTCTGAATGGAATCGGATGTTCAGATCGTGTTTTATGAGCTGTATGGGTATTCAAAATTTTAGTCCTTTGTGGGGGAGGTATCAAACGGAGTGGACCGATTTTCCCATCCATCTTCACACCAGACCTTGGTTTAATAAAAATATTGTGATGTGTGTCATTTGAAGAGAACCGGATGCTTATTTCGGATTTTATAATCGTTTTGATTATTCAAAACTTTGACCCTTTGTGGGGAAGGTAGGAGAAGGAATGGTTCGATTTCTACCATTTTTCTTAGGAATCCTGTGTTGATAAAAATATTGGGATGTGCCAAGTCTGAATGGAATCGGATATTAACTTCGCATTTTATGAGCTTCATGGATATTTAAAATTTTGAAACTTTATGGGGGAGGTACCAGAAAGAGTGGAACGATTTATTCCATCTTCTCAGCAGATCTTGTATTACTAAAAATAATGGGATGTGTGAAACATGAAGAGAACTGGATGCTTATTTCGGAGTTTATAATCGTTTTGGTCATTCAAAACTTTAACCGTTTGTAAGGGAGGTAAAAGAAGGAATGGTTCGATATCTACCATTTTTCTTACGGATCTTGTGTTGATAAAAATATTGGATTGGGATTTCCCATTTTATGAACTTCATGGATATTCAACATTTTGATCCTTTGTGGGGGAATTACCAAAAGGAGTGGACCGATTCACTTCACCTTGGGTTAATGTGTGTAATTTGAAGACACTCTTACACCGCACTTTATAAGAGTTATAATTATTCCAAATTTTGACCCTGTGTGGGGACCGATATTGCCCACATTCGCACCTGACCTAGCACTGATGGCTAAGTTGCAGCAAATCGGATTATCCCTTTTTTTCTGTGCAGTTTTTTTTTTCGAAAATTTCAACCTTTTGTGGGGGAGGTACCAGAAGCAGTGGATCGATATTGCCTGCCTCCGAACTTGATTTAATTTTGAAAATAATATTCGGATGTATCAAGTTTAGACAAAATTAGAGGCTCCCTTCGAGAGTTATCGTGCGCACCAACCAGTCAGACAGATAGACGGACGGAGATCGACTCCAAATATTCTGAAACGGGTCTAAAACCGTTGTTTCGATGAGGTACAATTTGGCTTATCAAATGATTATCTCTAGTCATATGGCTAAGAGAATAAAAATTAAATCTGACAATAGAACCTTACTAATATACATACATCAAACAAGCTGACATATATGAATGATTCACAAACACATATTTAAATTTGATTATGCCTATGTGACAAAAAATCTGTTTAAAATAATTCAAATGTCACCGAACATTGTCTTTAAACGAATTGCGTTTCCATGCTTTTCACTGTCCTCTTCGGAAAAAAGAATGTCTTCACAATCTCAGCATAAATGCTCATCACAAGCAAGTAGAAGACTTTGTCGTTACTTTTTACACTTTGAACATATTTCTGACAGGCATATGTGTAATTCATATTCGTATGTGTGTGCAACGAAACCGACATGCGACATGGACGACATACTGGTGACATAAAATAATCATCAAAATTATTTAACCGAAGACAGGTAACAAGGAAGTGAATGGATGTTGTCATAAAAACACTCAGTGTGCGACTGATTAAAATAAATGCTCTTCATATTTTTTATAAGGATGTCTAAAGAGCCTTGCTTGAGGGACGGGGGAGGGGGGAGTTGTAGTACATATTAATTATGAAAGATAAAAGTGAGAAGTAAGTAAGATAAGTTATCGAAATTAAAGGAAGATTTAATGTGGAGAAAAGATGTGAGTGATCGTCTACATTAATGCAAGGCGTATACGTTATATTGCGTGACATAATTTAATAAGTATACGTACAGTAGTCCGAAATGCATTTAACTAATGCATTACAAAGTTTTTTCATATACCTTCAATCAAGACCAAATATAGTACCATTCAGTACTTTTCGTACAATTATATAGGAATATCCTAAATCAGTTCCTTCTCTCAACCACAGAAACCAATAGTGACATCCATATTCCAATACCACATTTTGTACTTTTTGTACAAATATAGGAGGCGTTTCTGAACCACTTCCAAATCTCATCTATAATCAAAATATAAAAGTACAAAATAGAACATATTTTCAAAACCACTCTTATATCTCAATAACAGATAACAACAGAGACATCAATACCTAACTTCACCCAATACCTAATTTAGAACCAGTTAGTACTATTCAAACAATTGTAGTACACATTTCTAAAACTAATCCATATCCTAACCACAAACACCAACTGCGACATTTATATCAAATTTCAGGATTACAGCTCTATTCTTTCACCCAATATCAAATTGTACCAAATATAGCACTACTTAGTACTTTTCGGTCATTTACAGTAAATATGTCCAAAACCACCTCCATATCTTAAATCCAGATATCAACATAGACCTTAATATCAAATTTGATGATTTCACCAATGTCCCTTCACCCAATACCAAATTTAGTACCATTTAGAACTTTTCGTACAATTATGCCACCGTCAAATCTCAGACTCAGATAACCTCAGTAATCTTAGTACAAATTTCAGAATTGTGTCTCTATCCCTTCATCCGATACCAAATATAGTACACGTTCAACACTTTTCGTACAATTAAAGTGCACATTTACCAAAACATCTCCATATGTCCGGGCTACACACGAACAGCGATCCTAATACAAAATTAAAGATTTCAAGCACTAACAGTTTACCCATTACCAAATTGTACCAAATATAGTACCATTTTCTACACATAAGTACGAATTTCCAAAAGTTGCTACCTAACCAAATAATCTATACTGCAACAGTAATCTTACTTCAAAATTTCAGGATTACAACTCTATCGGTTCATACAAATTGAAATTGTACCAAATTTAGAACCATTTAATGCATACCCCAATCCCACACTTCCAGAGCAATCCTTATTTCAAATTTCAGGATTCCAGCCCACAAGTCCCAATTCCCAGATATCCTAATTCTACACTCCAACTTTCCAAAAACTACCTCAACTACACCAATCTTACAATCCCATAGACATCTTATTTCCAAATTTCGGAATTCCAGTTCTATATGTTCATCATAATTTCAATCTGTACCAAAAATTTAGTACCATTTAGTACACATAAGTACGAAGTTTCAAAGCTTTCTATATACCCCAATCCCAAACTCTCAGTAATCTTAATTCCAAATTTCAGGATTCCAGCCCTATCGGTCGGTTCACCTAAATCCGAATTGTACCATATTTAGTACATTTTAGTGTATATAAGTACAAATTTCCATAACTACCTACATCATACAATCTCATAGAAATCTTATTTCCAAAATTTCAAAATTCCAGCTCTATCTGTTTACCACAATTCCAATTTGTACGAAATTTAATACCATTTAGAACACATAAGTACGAATTTCCAAACCTTCCGACATATATACTTCAGTCCTACACTCAAAAGTAATACCAATTCAAAATTTCAGGATTCCATCTGCATTGATTCTCCCAAAATTTAAATTGTACCAAATTTAGTACCATAAGAATTTACAAAACTGCAGCTCCATCGGTTCACCCAAACCGAAATTGTACCAAATGTAGTACCATTTAGTACTTTTCGTGCACAAAAGTACAAGTTTCGAAAACTACCTCCATATCCCAATCCTAAACTCTAAATTCCAGCTGCATCCGTACCTCTAAATTCATATTGTACCACATTTTGTACCGTTTAGTACTTTTAGAATGCATGGGAACGCACTTTTAAAAATACCTCATTACATCGACCATACTCTTCAGCCTTGATTCCCATTTAAAAATTTAAGTTTTTAACTCTAACCGTTCACATGGTACGAAATGGTACCAAATGTAGTACGTTATTGTATTTTTCGTACACTTTTAGTGCGAATTTCCAAAAAAAAATTGTACATCTATCATACACTCCATCAGTGTCTGTTACTCTAGTGGTTCGTCAAAAACAGTGGTACATAGTACCTTTTTGTAATATTCACACCGTTTTAGTACGAATTTCCAAAAACCCAGCCTTATCTGACACCTTCGGACCAAGAGTTATTATCACCAAAAAAAACCTTATTTGTCAAAATTTCATGTTTGTAACTTTAGCCGATTTATGTGGGCCTTGATTATAGATCACTCGGTCAGCTATTTTACTACTCATTTATATATATAAATATATTGTTTACATTTTCAATACAATAATATATTTTTAATATTTGTCCCCTCTATTTTTCTATATTTTCAGAATTCATATCAGAGAAAGATGACATCTGTTTAACAGAAGAATGTGTCAGAACGGGTAAGATGTGATGATGCAAATCAATTATATTCCAAAAAATTGAGTTATATTTATTGCTGTTCTTCTTTTTAGCGGCCTATTTACTATCAGCCATGGATACCAGTGCGAATCCATGCGAGAATTTTTTCCAATATGCCTGCGGAACATGGAATAAAATCCATATAATACCAGAAGATCGAAGTTCTATAAGCACTTTTGAGGTGAGTTTAAGGACCTACTAGAAGATATTTATGAGACGAAACAAAACGAATCAACTACTGTGGAACTATGACGATTATATTGGTTCCGCTATATTACTAGCAGACAAATGCGAAACATTTTCCGAAAATTAATTAACCATCAATCGCGTCATTAAATGGATATTTTAGGCCATTTTAATTAAAAACGTTCAAAAACTTGATTTAGATGTGATCGTATCAGATCAAAATATTTTAGTCCCAAAAAAAATATAATTCTTGGCCGGATGACGTCAAAGACAAAAATATTCTACGCAAAATTTAACGATAATTTGACACAGATATAAAATCTATATTTTCATTATATATATCAACAAAATATTTGTCGATTTTTTTTTAGTTTTGTGAAAATATATTAGCATTATATACAGGATGAGATAAAAAAAATGCAACCAACTTCAGACTGCTGTCATTTCTAAGTCACTAGTCCGACAGCTATTAAAATTATTCGAGTGACAGCACATTATATTGTTTACAAGCGTACAAAAGCATTTTGGTGAGAATTTTCAGGGAAAAAAGTTATTCGTGATGGAATTCAAGCGTGATAGTGTGATTTTTTTATAATTGGCTGGAAAAGCACAAGTGGCTACCGTTAGAGCACTGCAGCATTTAAATGTGAATAAACCGTTTGTGACTCGTACCATCGCTCGTTACCGTGATACTGGTAGCGTAGCCCGACAAGGAAGTCAAGAAAGAAAACAGCAAAATCAGCAGAAATGGTTCGAAAAGTAAAGAAGAGACTTGATCGAAACTCGCGTCGCTGTGGCCGAAAAATGCCTCGTGAGCTGAACATATCGCAATGTTCCATGCAGCAAATATTGAAAAATGAGCTCGGGATAAAGCCATTGAAATTCCAAGAAGTGCAAGAACTTACACCGCAGCTGAAAGAAAATAGAATCAAAAGAGCTAAAGAGTTGCTTCGCTTAGCCGAAAGTGGTGAAGTGCCGAATTTGGTTTTCTCCGCTCCGATGAGAAAACATTCGTTGTCCAGCAGTTTGTAAACAAGCAACATGATCGTGTTTACTTGCCAAAGAGGTCAGCCGTAAATGTGCACCTTCGGTTGGCCAACAGAACTGAAGCGGCCATGGTGATGGTGTGGGCCATCATAACTGCCGATGGTTGCTCTCCGCTCGTATTAATCGACCATGTCATCAGAATAAATGCCGAATATTATTGCGAAAATATTCTGGAGGGTATGTGAAAGCCTTGGGCATGCAAACATTTTGGCCGCAGACCTTGTACATTTTAAACAGGACTCAGAACGCATCACCCCAGAATGGTTACAAAATAAGGTTCCTCGCTTCATTTTCAGCGCACAATGGCCACCAAAATCTCCGGATACCAATCCGTTGGACTATTGTGTCGGAATAATTTCCAAAACAAGGTTGGCACTAAAAAATACCAAAGTGTCGATCACCTCAAGCAAGCACTTCGCCGTGAATGGACCAAAAAACCGCTCAAGCGCCGGCCATGGTGATGGTGTGGGCCGCCATAACAGCAGATGGTCGCTCTTCGCTCATATTAATCGACCATGGCATTAGAAAAAATGCCGAATATTTTCAAGAAAATATTCTGGAGGGTGTATTGCCTTGGGCATTCAAACACTTCGTCCGCAGGTCTTGGACATTCCAACAGGACTCAGCACCATCGCACTCAGCACCATAGCACTCAGCCCGCGCCATCCAAGAATGGTTACAAAATCAGGTTCCTCGCTTCATTTCCAGCGCGCAATGGCCACAAAAATCTCCGGATACCAATCCTTTGGACTATTGTGTCTGGAGTATTTTGGAAAGCAAGGTTGGCACTAAAAAATACCAAAGTGTCGAACACCTCAAGCAAGCGCTTCGCCGGGAATGGGCCAAAGTACCGCAGAGCAACATTTAGGCAGCGTGTGACGGTTTCATTTGCCGTTTGAAGGCCATAATTCGTACCAAAGTTGACCAATTCGAACAAATCTATACTTATTCTAAAATTTGATGCTATTTCCGACATTATTTTTGCTTTCATTCAATAAAATTTAAAAAAAGAAGGTAAAAATAGTGGCGTTTGACTTTCTTGCAGACTCTTGACTCACATTGTATATCCTCCCTAGCTATATGGCTGAGGGTATAAAAAGAAGACACGGATATGAGCGTTTTGATAGTTTACATCGAAAAGTAACCAAAATAGAGGGGCAAGTTCTCCCCACTTTCACACGTTTGGAAAGTTTCGGATTAAGATTCCTCGGAATCCGTTAATTTCAGGTATATAGCATCTTCGGCAATATTGCAGATAAAAACAGAAAGAATATTGTAGTTTGTAATTGTAGCCCTCAAACGAGTAAAGAAAGGGGTCTTTTTGGTTATTTTTTTAAACATGGTTCCGAACTACCTTAAAATGGGATCATAGCAAGTCAAAATATTCAGCAAAATTATTGGTCATGAAATTCTACTGTAGGTTCTAGAAGACTTCGGTAGTTTAAATCTTACCTAAACGTCAGAAATCTATAAATATTAAAAACGCATTTTAGGGTTAAAGAAGTACTTATTGTGATTTTGTGCAAAAATCTCCAACAAAACATCATGTTAGAAGAATGACGTCAACGATAAAAATGTTCTACATCAAATTTTACTATAAGTCACCAAAGAAAGGAAATCTCTATATCCATTGTAGACGATAAAAATATGTAGACCATAAATATATTTGCAATTCCCCAAAAAAAAAAAAATTAAAAATATTTCCCAATTTTTTGAAAAAAATTTCCTCGGACTTTTTTCGAGTTGACGCCTGAAAGTAGTATAAAATTTCGTTCTAGGCGGAAAGTGTTAAAAGAAGAAATATTCTCCACAAAATTTCACTATAAATCTCAGAATAAACCTTATATCTAGGTACAATAGCTTACATGAAAATTACATTCGAAATTTATGTACCTGAAGTGAAAATTATGTCTTTGCTTTTTTGGTGTTAATTTAACAACACGTATCCAATCCGAGTCAAAATCTCCCGTAAAACTTCAGTTTTTGGGAAAAGTGTCAACGGAAGAATTATTCTAGATCAAATTTCATTATGGGTCTCCGAACAAAAGAAATTTTGTATACTTAATATGTACCCCGTTAAAATAGAATATATTTGTTCCTAAAAAACCGTGTAACCTCTATTATTTTTTTTATAGATAATCTTAAATTTTTTAATTAATTTAATTGTTGGATTATTTAAATATTTTTAATTATTCTAATAACAATATTATCGTTAATAACTTTCAGGTTCTGGCAGATCAACAACAGGTTATACTCAAAGGAGTACTTGAAGAGCCTATCAATGATCTCGATAATCAAGCAACGATAAAAGCGAAAATGTTCTACAAAAGCTGTATCGATATACGTAAGTAAAAGAAATCGATAACAGTGAGAACTCCATTTGAATTATTATTCAAAAATACCATTTTCTTAGCCCAAATACGCAAAGTCGGAGCGGGACGTTTAAAAAATGTCCTCAAATCTCTGGGAGGCTGGCCGGTCATAGAACCCAATTGGTCGCCGCCAAATATTAGCATAGAAGAATTGATTGGTACACTGCGTGGAGTCTATGGTGAACCTGTGCTCATCGAACTCTATGTGGGGGCCGATGATAAAAACTCCTCCATACATATCCTGCAAATCGATCAATTTCCATTGGCATTGCCGTCGCGAGATTACTACTTGAAGGCGTCAAGTGAAAATGATTTGAAAGCCTATCACAAGTACATGACCCAGACGGCCATTTTGATGGGAGCTAATGCCACAACGGCCAATGAGGAATTGAATGATGTTCTGCAATTGGAAATACAATTGGTCAATGCCACACTTCCGGAGGCGGATCGTCATGATACCAGTGCCATTTATCGGAAAATCACCCTGACCGAGTTGCAGGCTGAGGTGCCACAACTGAATTGGACATTATTTCTGCAAACCGCTCTGGGGAATAGTGTCCACTTGAAACCGGATGAACAATTGGTTAGCTACGCCATGCCATATCTAATTGAAATGGGTAAAATTCTGGTTAAGACCGACACCCGAACCATTCACAATTATGTCATGTGGCGTTTGGTGATGTCCATTATGAATCACATGATCGATGACTATCAAAAGGAGAGAGTGGAATTTCGTAAAATTCTCTTGGGTATACAGACGGAGAGGGTGCGGTGGTCTCAGTGTGTCGATTGGACAAATAAGAAATTGGGCATGGCTGTGGGTGCGCTCTTCATTCGGGATAATTTCAATCAGAATAGTAAAGATACCGCCCTTGAAATGATTCACACAATAAGAGAGGCGTTTAATGAGCTTCTAGCGGAAAATCATTGGATGGATGATGAAACGAGAGCGGTGGCCAAAGAGAAGGCCGATACAATGAATGAGAGAATTGGTTATCCGGAAATTTTAACGGATGCCAAGGAATTGGAAAAGGAATTTGTAAATGTAAGTCTCAATTTCAAATTCAAAATTAGATTCAAGGTCTTAAAAATATTCAAGGTCTCACAAGTTAGGTCCAAAATTTCCTCTCTCAAAATTTCTCTAATTTATTTTATTTACTCCTTTAAGCTTACCATAGTTCCTGATAATTTTATGGAAAATGTTTTGAGCATCTTGAAATGGGAATCGGAAAAGAATATGCAACTCTTGCGCCAGCCAGTAGACAAAGAGAAATGGACCACGGAACCGGCGGTGGTAAATGCATTTTATAATCCAAATAAAAATGATATCGGTAAGAAACTATTTCAAGCGGATGGCTCATTACAGAAAATTAATTTTTTTTTTTTTGCAGTTTTTCCTGCTGGTATTTTACAGCCACTATTTTATAGTCAACATTTTCCGAAATCTTTGAATTATGGTGGCATTGGAGTGGTGATTGGCCACGAAATAACACATGGTTTCGATGATAAAGGTAAGAAGCAACCAAGGGCTAAATGGAAGGACTTGTTATACATGAAAACATTGTAAATATCCCTGACAAAATAATGTTAAAAAACGGATACTATTGGGTTGACAGTTCTCCATAAAAAATATATCGAAAAAATCTTAAAAACCCAAGATATTGGTCGTTGAACATAAATTATTAAAAATTGTATAATAGAGTAATTAAAAAAAAAACAATTTAAAACAATTCACAATTATTGATCAGACAGTTCTAGAAGAATACTCTAAAAAATTAACAATTATTGGTTGGAAAGTCCAATATTGGTATTCTTAAATAGACCGCGATTATGAGTCTGAATATTCCAGAAAAAAAATCTTAAAAATGCACGATTGATCTGGATGTTCTGGCAAAAATATATTTCTAAAAAATTTGTCAAACAACACGACTATTAAAAATATGTTTAAAATAATTCGCGAATTCTAACAAATATTATAAATCCAATATTATAAATCCACAATTGTTAATTAAAAAACGCGATTGTTGAATACATATTTTAAAGAAAATCCCGTGATTTCTAAAAAATTAAAAAATTTATGATTATTAACTATTTTTTTTAAATCTACGATTATTCAAAATATAATTTTAAAAAAATATGTGATTTCTAAAAATGATTTAAAAAAATCCACTATTTCGAAAAAAGGAAAAAAAAATCACAATTCCTAGTGATTTAAAAAATCCACGCTTTCTAAAAAAATTATTTTAAAAATTCCATGATTTCTAAAAAACGATTTTAACAAATCCACGCTTTTAAAATATTTTTAAAAACCCACGATTTCTAAAAAAATATTTAAAAAAAATCCACGCTTACTAAAAAATATGTAAAAAATACACGATTTCTAAAAAAAATATTTTAACAAATCCACGCTTTTAAAATACCACGTGGTAAAAACCCACGTTTTCTAAAAAAATATTTTAAAAAAATCCACGCTTTCTAAAAAATATTTTAAAAACCGATTTTTAAAAAATGATCTTAAAACAATCCACCCTTTCTAAAAAATATGTGAAATAATCCATGATTTCTAAAAAATGATTTTAAAAAATCCACGCTTTTTAAAAAATATTTAAAAAAAACACGATTTCTAAAAAATGATTTTAAAACAATTCAACCTTTCTAAAATATGTAAAAAAAATCCATAATTTCTAAAAATGATTTAAAAAAATCCACGCTATCTAAAGAATATTTAAAAAAGTGAAACAATCGACCATTTTGAATAAATGTGTAAAAAACCAAGATTTATAAAAAATGGTATAAAAAATCTACGCTTTCTAAAAAATATTTAAAAAAATCCAAGATTTCTAAAAAATTAAAAATTCATGCTAACTAAAAAATAAGATTATTAAAAAAAAAGTTTAAAAAATCCAAAAATACTTAAAAAATTCAAAAATATTTTTAAAAAATTCAAAAATATTTTTAAAATATCCAAAAATATTTTTAAAAAAATTTTAAAATATCCAAAAATATTTTTAAAAAATCTACGATTATTAATAAATCTATCTTTTAGTTTTAGTTTTAGTTTTAAAAAGTCCACGATTATTAACAAATTCAATTTTTAAAAAAAAAATAAACAATCCACGATTGTTAAATACATATTTTTAAAAAATTCGGGGTTTCTAAAAGATATTTCTAAAAAATGCCAGATTATCAAATATTTTCCAAAAAAATCTACGAATATTAAAAACATTATTTAAAAAAAATCTACGATTTATGAAAAAATCCACGGATACAGTCTATTTTTAATAATCCGCGAATATTGTCAAAAATATTTAAAAATAAACACAATTACAATAACTATTTTTAAAAATAAGAAACTAATTATATATCATATTTTTAGGAAATCCACAAATTTCAAAAAGGGAACAATTTTGGAAAAAAAAATATTTTTGAAAAATCCACGATATAAAGAAATATTTTTAAAAGATCGCGATTATTAAATAAGGATTCTTAAAAAAATAAATCCACGATTATTAAAAAAGTGGTTTAAAAAATCCACACTTTCTAAAAAATATTAAAAAAACGATTATTAATAAATGATTTTAAAACAATCCACCTTTTATAAAAATATTTAAAAAAAAATCACGATCTAAAAAATATTACTAAAAAAATATTACTAAAAAATATTAAAAAAACACGATTTCAAAAAAAAATTATCTTAAAACAATCCACCCTTTCTAAAAATTTGTAAAAAAAAACACGAATTCTAAAAAATGATTTTAAAAAAATCAACACTTTCTAAAAAATGTGTAAAAAACCCAGAATTTCTAAAAATAGACTTTAAAAAAGTACACTATTTCTTAAAAATATTTAAAAAAACCCAAAATTTCATAAAAATGATTTTAAAAAATCCATGCGTTCTGAAAAATATTTTAAAAAATCCATGCGTTCTTAAATAATATTTTAAAAAATCCACGATTATTAAAAAATTTCTTTGAAAAATCCAAAAATATTTTTAAAAATCCATCATTATTAAAGAATTTCTTTAAAAAATCCAAAAATATTTGTAAAAAATCCACGATTATTACCAAATCCAAAATTAAAAAAAAAATATTTTTAACAAATCCACGATTATTAACAAATCCAACTTTTAAAAAATCCACGATTATTACCAAATCCAAAATTAAAAAAAAATATTTTTAACAAATCCACGATTATTAACAAATCCAACTTTTAAAAAATCCACGATTATTAACAAAAAGTATTTTTAAATAATCCACGTACATATTTTGAAAAAATCCGGGGTTTCTAAAAAATATTTCCCAAAAATCACGATTGTCAAATATTTTTCAAAAAAAAAAACAACGATTATTAAAAACATTTTTTTTAAAAAAGTCTACGATTTATGAAAAATTCACGAATACAGTCTATTTTTAATAATCCGCGAATATTTTCAAAAATAATAAAAAATAACATAATTTAAATAAACATTTTTTAAAAGTGTCCAAAAGAGAGAACCCTCTACAAAATCGTAATATCACACTTTGAACAATTCCGTTGAAAATGTGGCAAAAATCAAAAAAAAAAAAAAAACGCATATCAGGAGGAGCCTATACCAAAACATGAACTGAGATATCTCACGTTCAATTCCAACCATCCTACATATAATAAAAACTATTGTGCTTAAGTTTAAGTTATATGTCAAATAATGTGGGCTGTATAGAGATTTCAACAGCCCGACGGACATCGTTAAATCGACTTAAAATATTAGCTGATCATAATAATATATATTGTTAAAAATAAATATTACTTTTAATATTATTTTTTCAGGTCGTCAATTTGATAAGGATGGAAACATGATGCAGTGGTGGAACAATGTAGGTCACATGTCATAATTACTTCATTTCACAACCATTCCAAACAAATTTATGTTTTCTTTTTGCAACAGGTTACAATTGAAGCCTTTCGAGAACGTACCCAATGTATAATCGATCAATATTCGAAATATAAAATTGATGAGGTTGGGATGTACATGAATGGTCGGATGACACAGGGTGAAAATATAGCAGATAATGGAGGTCTGAAGCAGGCATTCAGGGTATGTACGAAAATGATTTAGAATATTTGACGTCGTAAAAATAATTCTACAATTCGCTTCGCCTTCAGGCCTATAAGAAATGGGTGCAACGTCATGGGCCCGAGCAACGTTTGCCCGGTCTGAATCTGACACATGACCAATTGTTTTTCCTAAACTATGCTCAAATATGGTGTGGATCAATGCGTCCCGAAGATGCTCTAACGAAAATACGTTCCTCCGTGCATTCGCCGGGTTCAATACGAGTACTGGGCCCTCTATCGAATTCCAAAGATTTTGCCGAAGCCTATAAGTGTGAACTGGGATCACCGATGAATCCAGTGGAAAAGTGCAGTGTATGGTGAACACAAGTTGTTGGATGAAACAGCATATGGGTTTTAGCATCTAACACTCAGTTTAACCACACACACTCACACCTGCATACAACATACTGACATGTGTACTCGTACTTAGAAGACTTCATCACAAAAAAAAGATAAACCGAAAGCACATACATATATGCACACACATTTATATATTTAGATAAATATATATTTTCTTGTGTACAACAAATATTTTACGATGATCTATCTTATAGTGAAAAATTCAATCTAGCATCTATATCTATACAGATATAAATATTTACCGGCTAAAGAACAATTACTCCTCTCTCTCCCACCCCCTCCTATCCCACCTGCCTACAAACGTACATAAATACACATCAAGTCAATGTCATATCAAAGCGAAAAAATTCCCACTCAAAAAAACAAAACCAAAAAAAAAAACTATAAAATGCAATACGATTGTTGTTTGTTATCCCTAACGAAATGAAGCTGCAAATTTTGTTTTTGAATACAAATTGAGAAAAAAAAACTCTAACGGAAATCTATGATTTATAATAATAATAATTATGTATACAGTTGTAGTACAATACATAAACCAGAAGCAACCAAACATACAAATCCAATACACCCTGCATATGTGTATAATAATAATAATAAAAAGATCGTAAATAACAAAAACAAAAAAACATTCAATATATAAAGTGTGTTTTAATTCAGAGATTTTCTCTACTTGATTTGGTTTAAGATTAAACTAAATACGGTGGCAATTAAATGTGGTTCGGAATTCTATTTTGTGATACGTCTAATATACATTTTTTAATTTAAATAAAATTGTCTACTAATCAACGCCTATATAAGGTAGGTCAAGGAGATTACTTTTTGTTGCCTCTCTTTGAATTTCAAATCACAAAGACTTAGTTGTCAGATGTGCTTACTGGCCGATCTTATATACAGGGCGAGATGAAAAAACTCCAACCAACTTCAAACTGCTGTCATTTCTAAGCCACTCGTCCGGCAGCTGTTAAATTTATTCCAGTGACAGCTCATTATATTGTTAACAAGCGTACTAAAGCATTTTCGTGAGAATTTTCCAGAAAAATATTATTCGTTATGGAATTCAAGCCTGATAGTGTGATTTCTTTATATTTGGCTGGAAAAACACAAGTGGCTAGCGTTAGAGCACTCCAGCATTTAAATGTGAATAAATCTGTTGTGACTCGTACCATTGCTCGTTACCGTGATACTGGTAGCGTAGCCGGACGTCAAGGAAGTGGGCGGAAGAAAACAGCATCATCAGCAGAAATGGTTCGAAAAGTAAAGAAACGACTTGATCGAAACCCGCGTCGCAGTGGCCGAAAAATGGCTCGTGAGCTGAACATATCGCAATATTCCATTCGTCAAATATTGAAAAATGAGCTCGGAGTAAAGCCATTGAAATTCCAAAAAGTGCAAGAACTTACATCGCAACAGAAAGAAAATAGGCTCAAAAGAGCTAAAGACTTGCTTTGCTTGGCCGAAAGCGATGAACAGCCGAATTTGGTTTTCTCCGATGAGAAAACGTTTGTTGTCCAGGAGTTTTTAAACAAACAAAATTATCATGTTTACTTGCCAAAGAGGTCAGCTGAAAATGTGCACCTTCGGTTGGCCACCAGAACTCAAGCGCCGGCCATGGTGATGGTACGGGCCGCCATAACAGCCGATGGTCGTTAGAAAATGAGGATCCTCGCTTCGTTTCCAGCGCACAATGGCCACCAAAATCTGCGGATACCAATCCGTTGGACTATTATGTCTGAAGTACTTTGGAAAGCAAGGTTGGCACTAAAAATACCAAAGTGTCGATCACCTCAAGCAAGCGCTTAGACGGGAATGGGCCAAATACCTCAGAGCAACATTCGGGCAGCGGGTGACGGTTTCATTGGCCGGCAATAAGGCAATAATTCGTGCCAAAGGTGACCAATTCGAACAAATCTAAACTTATTCTAAAATGTTATGGTATTTCCGACATTTCTTGCTTTCATTCAATAAAATTAAAAACAAAAATTATGCCGTTTGACTTTGCTGCAGTTTGTTTATCTCACCCTGTATACTTAGAAGTTGCTGCATTATTTCCATTTGACTCCCTTTGAATTTCAAATCTCAAAGACTTAGTTATCAGATGGGCTTACTGGCCGACCTTATATAGGTCATGCTATGAATAAATCAAATTGTATACGAATAAACTAACGAAGTCGCATACACTCAGGAGACCTTCTATTTTATTAGCTAATGGATATTTCCTACGAATCGCTGCCCAAATATTGACATTTCAATGTAATATTTCTCAAAAAAATTTGTAACGATTCGTTTGAAATATCCTTTTTTAAAAAACAGACATTAAGGCAGCGGAGCTATAAAGTCAGAGTAACGTGAAAAATCATAGGGTACGACATAAATTTGAAGTTGCTACAGTATGTATGTATATGGGAGACACATTTATCGGAATCGATATTCTCCAAATTTAACAGAAGGTTCCGGAGTAGTTGGTCAATATTGTCCATTTCGTATATGATCTAAGTCTGATATAAATATTACACACTTCCTTCACTTTATATAGGATATGTCATTTACTTGATTCGCTAGTTAGGAGAGATACAATTATTGAAAATAGTGCCCCGTTGTGGGAGAGGTACCAGAATGGGTGGGCCGATATCTATCTTTACACTAGATATTGCTTTAGCAAAAATATTGAGATTGGTGAAATATGAAGAGTATCAGATGCTTATTTCACTTTTTATGTGCGTTTTGATTATTCAAAATTGTAACCCCTTTGTGGGGGAGGTAAGAGAATACCGATCTATCTCATCTTCACCCCAGATCTTGTGTTGATAGAAATTCTGGGATGTGTCGAGTTTGAAAAGAATTGGATGTTCATTTCGGATTTAATGAGCCTCATGCCAATTCTTAATTTTGACCCGATGTGGAAGAGGTACTAGCACGAGTGGTTCGACATACTCCATCTTCACACCAGATCTTCTTTTACTTGAAATATTGGGATGTGTCGAGTTTGAAAAGAATCGGATGTTTCTTTCACGTTTTATGAGCTTCATGTTTATAACGTTATGTGAGGGGTATAACAAGAATTGGTCCCATATATATCCCATATTCACCAGATCCTGTGTTAACAACTATATTGAGATGTATGGAATTTGAAGAGAAACGAATGCATATTTTTAATTATTTTTTTAATTATTCAATTTTTTTTTTAATTATTCAAAACTTTGACCATTTGTAAGGGAGGTAACATGATGGAGTTGGCCGAAATTGTCCATTTGTCCCGGAAATGATGTGTTTATGTTTCGCTTCTCTAATGTCCGGTTAAATCTGTTAAACAGGGAATAGAGCTTTATTTTTTTTACAAAAGTCGCGTGTTTTTAAAGATATAGTTGATAAAAACACCGGGAGAATTAAAAATTAAAAAAAAATCCTAACCAATTTTAGTTTTGTGATTTCATCCAACTTCACCCAAATTGATAAAATCGAAGGGTTTATGTTGCAAATATTTGAATGATTTCTTCTGTGGAACAGTTTAAGGGTCATCATCTGGTGTATTAGATTCAGATCAATCGAAGGCAAAAAGATAAATTTCATCAACGTCAGGCAGGTTTTCGCATTGTGGAATGTCTCTTCAATGAAGGAACATAACAACATGAAATGATATGCATCGATTACCGAACAAAATAGAAACTATATAATTTTTTAAGAGATCGAGAGACATTTCGCGTAGATAATTAAAGTAGGATGAAAGGTAAATTGTACTAACTTTTCAAAGACATTTGAGGCACACATATACGTACATATAAATCCGCTTTGGAATACACGAAAACGATATTGATATTAAATGTTTTTGGGATACATACAGTTATTAAAAAACTCAGTTTATATTCTTCGAAATATCTCTATAAAGATGCTGTTCTGTTCTTGATTGAGAAACACACAATTTTTTGTTGTTAATAAAAATGACAATAAAATAAAAAAATTATTCTATTGACACAAGTAAAACAAAGAACAAATTAACCATGCTGAGTGTTAATGCAACTGATTAATAGAAGTCTGGATATACCTGTTTTGGCTGTATTTCTGTCTTTTATTAGAGTATAATATACGTTATGGTTGGTATTTTTACAAATAAAACTTTCTTTCTAATAATTTGAGCATTGTTTTACGTTAGAATAAAGTTTAATCCAAACTTTTTTTGTTGGAAAATATTGAACTATCTACTTTTTACAAGACATATATATTTTTTTAAAACAAATATTTCGATAAAAAAAAGATCGTTATTTTCATTCAATAGAGTAAATGAAGTAGAGTCTTTAAATGTTTGTCAATTTTTTCAGGCTGGTAACACAAACGAATTAGCACTTTAGGGCAAGATGTCTCAAGGGCATTAAAGTTAAACAAATAAAATGTATTTTATTCTGTACATAAAGTATTGAGATTATAATTAACAACAGTATTTGCTATAAAAACATATATAATACTTTGCGAACAGTTTTTGATAAATTACTTGTTTACAAAAAATCATAAATCATTATGGTTTTATCTTTGTCATGGTTTCAATAAATTCCTTGGTTAACATATTTTGTATACTTTAGTACCTCTTAAAGGTGGTATTCTTATTTTAACATATCTTTTCTGTTTTTCTTTTAATTTAAAATTTAAAACTGTTTTTTTTTTTTTAATTGGTAGGAGAAAGTAATATTTGTTATTATTTTGAAAACAAATTCGTTTCATATTAACACTGTTAATACGAGAGGTAAATTGTATCACACATTTAAATTGTTGTTTTTTTGTTTAACAATAGGTACATTAGGAATATATGTTAAGGAAATCAAAAAAAGGGCTTGGAGCACCCACTAGCTACTCTTTGCACTTAAATTACGTTGTAATTTCATTGTTGATTCTTAATTCTCGTCCTCTTACTTCTCTTGTGGCTCGTTGTTGATTTCCGGGTCTTGACCAACTTTGCTCATCGGCACTGGCAAATATTAGATAAATAAAATTCCCAGCAATATTTAGGCCACCTGCCAACCAAAATACCTTACGCCACTGCAACATGGTGTTGTTGTGATTAATAATCAGTCCGATGACATAGGGGGCCAAGAAACCACATATATTGGCAGCTGAGTTGGTAATGCCATACATTGTCCCAGCATACGATGGACTGAGGGAAATGTGATTCATTTGATTGCCCGGATAAATGGCTCCAGCAAAAGCGCCCACCCCAGCCAACATAAATGTTACCCATTGCCAACTGCAACCAACATAGCCAACTCCAATTAAACCCAATGACGGTATAATGGAGGCAATGGAATTCCAAAATTTATATGAACTCAAGGTACTGATATAACGTCGTTCCAACATCCAATCGGCCACTGCTGAACAGGCAATGCCCGCCAGCCATGAAGTGAGGTATGGTATGCTATTCAACACGGCATTTGATTGGATTTCAAAGTGCAAAATGTTATTCATGTAGGTGGGCAATTCGGTTAGTTGGGTGTAAAAAGCCCAACTTTGGCCACACTGGGTAATTAAAATCGCCCACAACGGTACAGAAGTCATGATTGAGCGCCATGGTATGCTTGGTGTTGAGGTATTGTCATTGGAAGACATATCTATTTGGTAGTTATCCTCATTCTCATCTTCACTACAACTTAAAGTGCCTCGAGGAATTTTGGGTTCTGAAATCTTTTCCATTAACCCGGTACATCTTTCTATGTACTCCCTTTCGTTTGGGTTTATGCGAGGATGCATTGAAGGCTTGTCATAGACTAAATACATCCAAAATGCAAACCACACAATACCAAGTATACCAAAAACATAAAAGGCCAATGGCCAGCCGCCTCCAAATTCTAGGGAACAAAGCCATCCTGCCAGAGGCATAGATATGACAGTGCCAATATTTGAACCTGCATACACCACTGCTGCAAATTTATTACGTTCATTGGGCGGTATCCAATGGGCCAACATAACATGCATTGCTGGATATGTAACACCCTCACCCATGCCCTCCAGAACGCGCACCAATATAAGCATGGGCAAATCCCAATAGGCAGCAATTGGAGTAAGTAAAGTAAAAATGGCAGTTATCAATACACCATATCCATAAATCAGTTTGCCACCAATCAATTCAGCCATACGTCCACCGGGTATCTGCGTCAAAACATAACCATAGAAAAATGAACCCAATACCAGACCTTGGGTAGCTTCATCCCAAGCAAAGTCTCCACCCGTAGAAGGTGTGGTCTTGTTTGGCTTGATCTCTATGGGGCAGGTATCATCCAGAACAATGGAACTATTGTTTTCCTGTGGAATCGCTGTTTGATTAACCATAGCTACAATTGCCACTGACAAATTCACACGCATTGCATACACAACGGCAAATCCAAAGAAGCCCATTAAACCGAAAATGGTGCGGGTGTTAATACAATCACAATCATCTAGATGGGAGGAGAGAGAGAAACAAAAGTTAATTTCAATTGTTATTAAATTCAGTGTATGTATGTATTTGTATTCAAATTTATTATACCTCTACCTGGCCCTCTGATTAGGGGAGCATCTGCATCATTGCTAATTGCAAAATCATCATCATCTTCAGAATCGGTTTGAGGCAACATTATATTTCCACTGTAGACATGTAAATCTTCCTGTTCCTCGTCACTTGGAGCTCTGTTGTTCGCACCAGCTCTTTGTGATTCATAGCCATGGGGATTTTCTCCATTTCCAGTTATTACCGAATTTACTTTTATATTTACATTTGCGGACATATTCCTTTAGTTTGCTACACTTTGTCATTTACAAGGAACAGGCATTACGTCGGATTTCGTCAATATTAAAACTACGTCGTGTTTATTTATAAAACATTTGTTTCTTTGGAAGAATTACAATCACAATATGCTTAAAATTTGTTTATTGGTTGGTCGTCGGTCTTAACGCCAAGAATGTTTAGTTAGATATGAAAACGAAAACTCTAAATTACACACAGTGAGGAACGTTAGAGAAAGCCACGACACAATTTTATCTAACCCCCCTATAGCAGATATACGACAAGAGAGAGAGCGAAGAAGAGAGACGAATGAGGGGAGTTCAGAAACAGTCAGTGTTTGTGGTTAAAGAGCAAAACAGAAACAAACAAAAAAAATCAACAACAAAAGTCTCTCCAGCTATAAACAAATGTGACCGACCGACCAACTGTTAGAGATGTACTGACGTGAGTGCAAAGTGTTGTTACCAACAACAACAGCAGCAGCAACATCAACCCAATAACATTGAGGAAGTCTGACTAATGTGTTCAAATGTGAAACAGTGAGTGAAGGGAAATCCAAAAAAAAAACGCAAAACAAGTCGGCTGAATTATAACACAATAGAAACTGTAAAGGCAACACCGGCTTGGTTGGACACTACTAAAATCATTTTCTTAGTTAAATAGTAAAATAAATTACTTAGAACAAATGAAGGACATATTGAAAGCATAAATCTCAGAATGTCTTCCATGTAGATGAACGCCAAGAGTTTGAAAGATCGTCTTTCAGTAGAAGTTGGTAAATATGTTATCGGTCTATAGATGACCGTTAGAAAATCTTATATGTATAAAAAGTTATCAGAATTTATTCTTTATTTGTAGAAGACCCCAAGAAATTTTTGAGTCCTATCAATAGAAGGATGTCAATATGTCATCTATGTCATGTCATAGAAGACCCACTCACCAAAATGTATTTTAATAGTTTTTCTAAGATCCGCAGAAGACCGCCAATAAATATTCTGAGTTATTTTACAGGAGCATATTCTCCAAGGATAGATTTATATGTGCAAGACTTTATAATTTATTCCATAGAAGCCCATCAGATTGTCTTCTAGTGGTCGACGAGTGCTACATAAAATCATCACCAGACCTTCTAAGAGTTGGGGACCGTTATAAGATTTTTTAAATGCAGAAGACAGCCAAATTTTTATTTTTATTATAGGAATCCGTAAGAATGTCTCCCAAATGCATAAGATTTTTAATTGTTGAAAATCTCCAAAAGGCCTTTAAACAAGAACAGACGTCTTTGAGGAAGAGCTTCATGTTATTTTACAGAAAATTAAAAAATATGTCTTAGAAAACCGTAAAAATTAGTCGATTTTTAAAGTAACCCATCAGAAGGCCTCTTATAGATTCCTTATTAAGAAAAACCGTCCAAGAGGCAGGCCATCAGAGAATCTTATATTGCAAAAAAAAAAAAAAAAAAAAAAAAAAACAAGTAAAAAACTGTAAACAAGTAAAAAACAAATAAAACCCGTAAAATCTTTAAAATTCCGAATGTAGCCATTATATTAGGTTCTATACGACGATGTGGACCGGCATAGGCAACATAGGGGGCTATACCAAAACGTGGACCTGCACAGAAAATTTTCTGTCTTAGGCTGTAGTACCCATTATGAACTTCAAATACCAAATTTGAAACAAATCCGGTGAATAATATCGCTAAAATCATCAAAATACCGAATATCGGTAGGTACCATTATATGGCGGCTATACGAAGACGTTGACCTGTACAGGCAATTTTCTGCCTTAGGTCAAATACGAAATTTGAAACAATTCCGGTGAATAATATCACTTAAATTACCAAAATACCGAAAAAGGGAGATACCATTATATGGAAGCTATCCCAAATCGGGTACCGATATATCTCATTTTCAATACCAACCATCCTAGACACAATGCAAACTACTGTACCAAATTGTAAAGCTCTACGTCATATAACATGAGCCGTATCGTGATTTCAACAGACAGATGGACATCGTTAAATCGACTTAGAATTTTATGCTGATCATGAATAAATATACTTTATGGAGTCTATGACGAATATTTCGAGGTGTTAAAAACGGAATGACAAATTTAATATACCCTTTTTACAAAGGTGTAGGATATAAAAGTCGTATTTTTGCAACTTTGGCACCCTATATCTCTGGACGTATTTATTTCCCCCCAAAAGGTCTACTTTCAGAAAACATTTCAGACTTTTCCGCCAACTGGATGTGAACTCAATTAGTTCCTATGGTCGAAATGCTTCTATGTATAGATCCTCAGAAGTATTTTTCTTGCGAAAAGTTACAAACGAAATGAAGATCTTAAAATATGCACCACAAGAGTAGCTATTATAAACAAACAAAACGAAAAAAGGTAACAAGAAAATTATAAAATGTATCACACGGTTGACTGAACGATTAATTCCACGAATAAAATAATAAACTTTGCAAAAACACAATTAAATAATTTCATACAGTAAAAATTTATTACAATATTTGATATTAAACACACAAATAAAAAAGACACGTTATCTAAGGCACGTATTGGTTAATCTTCCAATACCGATTTATCATAGAATCACCAATAAAACAAATGCATCAAGTAGGTACTTCTAGTACGTTACATCTTACCGATTCTCCGCTGCATTGTTCAGTTTGCAAAAATGCTGCCAATGGGGAAAACAATGCTCTTTTGTGAGCCATTGTGTGACAAAGTCTCATAGTGGTAATTGTTTTCCATGGCGACAAAAGATTTTCCCTGGGTCTGGTGGTCTTGCAAAACAGTCAAGGGCATATTAAAGCAGTTGATAAAGAAATTTTGAGATTTCAACGCAGCTATTAGTTCGTAAGCATATGCATGATTTTCATGCCAAATTGAAACATTCGGGAATGTTAATGTTTCTTTTGCGACCAAAGCAATTGCTTCCTTGGCGGTGCGGAAAGTGTGAAGAGTACAAACTCCAGCAACATGATTACCAAAATGCTCATGTGTAAAATCACATACCAACGTTGGGCCGCCAGCAACTGTTATCACCTTTGCATTGATCTTTTTTATTGTCTCTTGGACCTTAATAAATTGTTCATTTTTCATTTCATTATTAGCAAAGGGTTTCAATTGTGCCTGAAGCTTTTGTTCGAAATCTGGCCTTATCGATTCCTGAACTAAAACAGTGGCCACAGCCTGAGGACACAATGGAGTCTGCAGAGAGGTAGCCAAGTGGTGTACAGCAGCGTTGACATCACTGTTTTCGAATATGATAATTACGGTGGGCTGGCGATTACCATCCGCGTTGACATTGGCCTGATAATGAAAATTAGTTTATCACAATTAGGTTAGAATTGCCAGGGCAATACAACTTACGGTATTTGCATCGGATTTAGTCATTGCGTCGTAAAATAGTCCGTTAAATGATTCTTCTTTTATTAAAATTGGCATCTTAATCCTCGATCCTGCGGAATTAAACACGGCTGATCATAAACAATTAACCAGGCAGCATGATAACGACATAGCGTTGCCAACTAGAAAATACCCATGAAAGATTAAAAACATCACGGCAACCCTTTGACAATAGTGGCAACTCCACATTAAAGGCGCTATTGCCCAATTCACATGTCAAAACTATTTTCTCTTAAAAAATATTAACTTTGAAATTTATTTATAATTCATCTGTTTGGAAATTTTAATTAATAATTACTTGAAAATGCAGAACCAATATTCCAAAAATGTTAAAAATAATATTTAGTTGTCTGTTGAATATACAAATCTTGCATCTTGAATATAGGTAGTCGCACTGACACAGCTGCTGCGGCAATGAACTGCCAAACTAATTTTGGAATTGCCAAAACATTTTAATTTTTTTTACATATCAATGTTCCTATGCGTTGATGCATCATCCTGCATTCTTCTACCATGGAATCTTGCAGCACTTCAGCGAACCACTAGGAAATCGCGAAAAAAGCAACGTCCCCTTTTGGTTTTTTTTTTTGCGTCATTGAAAATGACAGATAAGTTTTAAAATAGTAGAAGAATGCAGGTCGTCGCATGGACACATCAAAGGGACAATGAACTGTCAAACCAATTGTTCCAAAGCGTTAATGCATTTACGTTTATTCTTCTACCATTAATTTTAATATAAAAAAGGTTACCATTTCAATTTAAAAATGCTAACATGAATGAAACAATACATCTTTTTTACACACGCATGTGTCGGATCACCTTATCGGTGAAAGTAAAATGATTATTTTTGTTCAGAGGTAATCTCGTTTGCCAAATTAAAAACGAAATAAATGTTTATCTTCGTCTCCGTAATTTATCAGTTTGTGTTTGAAACTCTGCGGAGATACATGCAAAGATTTAAGATTAGCATTTAAAGAGTTCCATAATTTTGTGAAAGATTTATCAAAAATACTATTTATAAAATGTTCTCGCATGTTTACAAGAAGACACTGTTTCTTCAACGAATAAATATTTCATCCCTACGTTACGTGTGAGACTAACCATACACGTAGCGTTGCCAACTACCACAAATTACACAGTTGTTAGAAAAAGCACTTGATTGTTGACATTTTTTGTCTGTTGTCAGTTTGACAGTCCAGCCAGGCACATGTTTAGTTCGAGACTACGTTCTTAATATTTATTTTTGAATTTTTATCTGGAAAAAAGTTCCTAATTTCACACAATGGAAGTAGAAAATATTAAAGTTGATGATATTCTACCCACTAGAGTCGCCAAAAAGCGTTCCCGCAACGATGATACGGAAATGCAAGTGGACGAAGCCACTGGCATCGAGGGATCTGTATCTAAGAACCAGCCACCTAAAGCTAAACGCGTTAAAAGTGAAGTGCGTAAAATTGCTGTACCACCACACAGGTAATGACTTTGTTGCATTTTCTGTGAATTGTGCAACTAATTATTTCTCTTTGCAGATATTCATCTCTGAAGGAACATTGGATGAAAATATTCACACCCATTGTGGAACACATGAAACTACAGATTCGTTTCAACATGAAAGCCAGACAGGTATGTGGTTTTAAGGAACATTTTCATAAACATGTTGCTTAACTAATTCGGGGTTTTATTTAGGTTGAACTTCGTATTAGCCCAGAAACTCCGGACATTTCAAATCTTCAAAAGGGTGCGGATTTTGTCAAAGCCTTCCTTTGCGGCTTTGAGGTCGACGATGCCTTGGCTCTGTTACGTTTGGATGATTTGTTCTTGGAAACGTTCGAGGTAAAAGATGTTAAAACTCTCCGTGGCGACCATATGAGCCGTGCTATTGGTCGTTTGGCTGGTAAAGGTGGTCGTACGAAATTCACAATTGAAAATGTCACCAAAACACGTATTGTATTGGCCGATAGTAAAATTCATCTCTTGGGTAGCTATCAAAATATTCAATTGGCCCGCAGAGCCATTTGTAACTTAATTATGGGATCTCCACCAAGTAAAGTTTACGGAAATCTCCGTAATGTGGTTTCTCGTGTTAGTGAAAGAATGTAAATACATAGAAAAGGAAATATGTATATTAAATGAATTGCAAAGAACGATTTAGGATTAGTTGTGAATTATGATATATTTTTTTAGATACATAAATTAAGTTTTTTAAATATAAACAAATCTTAAAAACAAAAATAATTTGGGGACTATTCACAAGTCTATCTATAATTTTGTAAAGATAAGCAAGATTAGCATAAATAAGGTAATTCCTGCCAATACCAGGATTGCACACATTTTACGATTCTTTCTTTGATACATTTCGGCCTTTTGTAGCTGGCGTACTCCTTCCGATACCCGCGTCTGCGTTTGTTCAATAGAATAATCAATGCGATCCAAGACGGTGCCCTGTTCCTGTACCATTTGACCCAAATCCTTAAAGATGTCATTGAGATCGTAAATGCTCTTGACAATTTTCGACACTTCTTCGTCACGATTTAAAGCCATGCGTGTGTTTTCCTCTTCAAACAACAACAGTTGTTGCTCGGTCATGCGATTTGCCATTGGCCTTTGGAAATGGGCATCCAATTCACTATCTTTGGCTTCATCATCATCTTCATATAAATAGTTGTTACGCGTGAGTGTTGTTGCCGTGTTTGGTGGGGTGGGTTGTAGAAAATTGTCAAAGGAATCAACATAATTGTCACGTTCTCCTCCATTGCTGCCATTACTAAAATCATCAAAGAACTGCTGGCTGCGTTCTTCTCGTGAATTCAATTGCTTCAAATAGGAATTTTGACTATAACGAAATTTAAGTGTCAGCTCTTGCAGACTCATCATAAGATATGTCACCACATTGGCCGTAAGGCGTTGTTCTAACTTTCCTCCCTCGCCTAAACTATAACGTATACACTGAACATGGCGATGCGTTGAGGTAATAAGTTTGGATATTTCCTGGCTCAACTGTTCCATTTCTAGTTCTTCCTCTTTGCTCTCGTCGAAGGCTGGACGCAGTAAGGAACGGGCTTGCAATGAGCCAAGTTCGTCTAATTTGGGTTTTATTCTGCAAAAGTAATATAAGGGATGACATACAATTCATTACTCACTCATTGTCTGGGCAAAACTTACTTGGACATGCTGTACTGGGCCTCTTCCAATTTATCTATCCATGTCGGCTGACTTCCATAATCATCTCTTAGTTCCATACCCTCTTCAGCATCATGGACAGAACGTTTTAACAATAACTCAGCATCAGTACCACCCTATAGAATAAGGAAAACAGGGAATCAAGAAACCAACCATATTGTATTTACAAGGACAAACGTACTTTGTCATCGGAATATAAATTGCGATTTTTTGATGCATTATTTCGCATAATGTTGAAAACCTCCGTCAGATTACGGGACGACATCTTGCTATATTTCAATTTCTATCCTCAATGTCGTTTGTTATTGTTTAAAATTGGAAATTTAATTAATATTGTGTATTCACTTTTCACTTTTCGTTTCGTTGACTTTTCGTGCTGTCATTCCAATTACAATAAAGCATAATCAGCTGTTTTGGAAAACAAAAATGAAAAACGTCCCAACGAAACGAATATGAAGGCCACAAAGGAATACCCGATAAAAAATAAACAGAAAGCAAAGACGTGGGGTACTCTGTTGTAATACATAACATCTTCATTAAAGAGCGCGGAACTAGTTGCTACTATCGTTTGTTTGAAAATGCTTCTCTCCCTATTGAGAATAAGAAGGAACCATCTTATAACGCATTTACATCTTAATCATTTGTAGCACAGTTAAACCATGGTACAATGAATTCAAGGTAGGGCAGAACTATCATATGATTTTAATTTTTTCATTTTTCTGGCTTAATATGTCAACTTTATTTGCTTATGTGTGTGTCTTCTTTTCAATAATAAAAAGTTGTTCAGAAAATATTCAAATTCGGGTGTTTTCAAAATGCTTATTGCAACGAATGCATCGACAAAATCTACAGTTTTTGTCGCGAATTAAACCATAAGAGACATATAGAACATGATATTGAAAATAATTTTTGACCATTCATTCAGTTTTCGCGGTTTTAAATTATTTATTCAAAATCAATGCAACAAGTTGTTTGCTTTTTTTATTATTTTGATAGTAATTCTGACATTACAAGCCAAACAGGTAGACCTCTATACTTGCAATTTTTTCAAAGTTGACCTACCTTCTCTTCATTGTACCATGAGTTAAACTAAAAACTAATCTTTACACTGAAAATAGAGCTGACAAATGGTCAATGGCAATACCGATACTTGATTTTAAAAGATGATATCGATTAATAGTTTTTTTCTATCGATTTTATCGGACGAAATGGCACTGCCGTGGTAAAATTAAATTAATTGTTTACAATTTTTTCAAAATATATCAATTTGACAACAAGTCATTGTCAAAATTTTATTAATAAATCTATTGTATATATACAATTTTTAAAGACTTCAGAAATTTTCACATCATATTGATACTAACAAATTTGTAGTTTTAAAAATTCTTAGAAAAAAGAAAAATCAAAAATGTAGAAGTTCTTACTATGATAACCAAATTTCCCCTTTATAAGATCGAAAAAAATTCAAAACTAGTAGATTCTTGCTGGCATATGAAATAAATTCTGACATAGACACATATATTCAAACGAAAGCAAAATTAGGTTTTTAACTAATTTAATATATTAGCAAATATAAAAACTGTCAATGTTTTATGGAAAAGTATAAAAACTCAAGTAAAGGTATACAATTAAACAAAATACATTTGGGAGAAAAGGTTTGTTTTTTCTTCAATTTGTTTTTCATATAAATTATCTTTTGTTTCAAAATACCATAAAAACATAGAAACAAAGTGTAAGAATTTATGATTAATGATAATTCAGATGGCGAACTTCGAATTTCAATGGAAAAAATGAAGCTTAAAAAGTTAATGGCAATACCGATAGTCGCTTTATTGGCATAATATCGATAGTTTGTTGCTTTTAATCGATAGTGGCCATAACAGCTGATGTAGTGTTCACATGGCAAGGTAAAAAGTAATGCTTGCAAGGTTGCCAAATAACAAAAAAACAAAAGAAATGAATGGCAATTCTATTGAGTAAAACAACAACATAAAAGGATTTTAAATAGCACAGGCAAAAGCCTATTATGTAAGATTTTGTAGTTTTCATTTCCCTCACTTGTGGCGCTCTTTGTAAGCAAGGGATAACATATACTCTATTACTCTATTCCAGGACCTGCAAGAATTTAATATGTTTGTAAATAAAAAACATTGCAGGATCACCAGAGTAATTTAGCCACATGGAAAACCACAAGTGGCTATCGTTAGAGCACTCCAGCATTTAAATGTGAATAAATCTTTTGTGTCTCGTACCATCGCTCGTTACCCGACGTCAAGGAAGTGGACGAAAGAAAACAGCAACATCAGCAGAAATGGTTCGAAAAGAAAAGAAGCGACTTGATCAAAACACGCGTCGCAGTGGCCGCTCTCCGCTCGTATTAATCGACCATGGCATTTGAATAAATGCCGAATATTGTCGCGAAAATATTCTGGAGGGCACGCAAATATTTTGGCCGCAGACATTGGACATTCCAACAGGACTCAGCACCATCGCACTCAGCACGCGTCACCCAAGAATGGTTACAAAATAAGGTTCCTCGCTTCATTTCCAGCGCACAATGGTCACCAAAATCTCCGGATACCAATCCGTGTCGATCACCAAAGTGTCGATCACCTCAAGCAAGCGCTTCGCCGGGATTGGGCCGAAATACCAATGGCCATAATTCGTGCGAAAGGTGACCAATTCTAACAAATCTAAACTTATTCTAAAATTTGATGCTATTTCCGACATGGTTTGCTTTAATTCAATAAAATTAAAAAAAATGTAAAAAATATTGCAAATGACTTTGTTGCAGTTTTTTTATCTCACCCTGTACATATTTTTTTAAGGGTATATTGTTCCAAACAATTCTATTGTTCAATCAGACAAACAATTATTGCAACAACAGAAATTATCACAAAAAAGCAAATAAAGGATATAGAGGAATGCAAAAAACCGTCATAGACAATGATCGACCGTTAAACGTCATAGACAATGATCGATTATTATCGATAAATACAATCAATAAACGCCGATCAGCTGGAACACAATTGGGCGTTCGGCGAATTGTTCTACACAAATTGAGGACTTTTCAAAAATAGTTTTTAATGGAAAAGGATTTGTTGAGTTTTTTCGTTTGTTTGAAATTGGAATTAATGATGGAATATCTGTCGATACTTACCAACGACTGTTTTAACATTTCGTAATTGAAAACACCTGAGATTTCTATTTTCAACTTATTCATTTGTTTGCTTTATTAATTTTGTTTTCTTCGATTCAGTTTATATGAAATTTAATTTAATTTGTTTATTACATGTGTGTGTTTTTTCTTTGTTTGTTGTGTGATATTAACATTAACAATGTGTTCTTGTTGTTTTTGGATTTTCATTGATTTGTTTGTTTGTTGTTTAAACTTTACTCATATTTCGATTATATTTTTGTGGTTTATTTTCATGTTTTAATTTGTTTTTTTTTTCAACTATGTTTTTACTCAATTGTTTTAAATTATTTGTTTTTATTACTTCTTTTTGATATTTAAACCTGCAATTCTTCTTCTTCTTCGTCGTTTTTTCCTTGTTTTTATTTTGTTTTTTTTATATGTATGAGAAAAATCGAAATATTCTATTATTATTATTAACAATTCCATTTGTTCATATCTTTGCAGTTACCATGCTTTTCTCATAAAACTTTTTAGTAGTTGGCATTTTACAAAAAAGTAGTTTATTTAAATTGTTTGTTTTGTTTTTTTATTCTTTCAGTTATTTTACAACCATTTTCTTTGAAAATATTTATTTTTTAAATATAACTATATTGTTTGATGTTTTTATTGGTTTTCATTGACTTAGTTAAGCTTAAACATTATTTATTGCCTTTTTTGGAAATGTTTTCTGTTTTTTTTTTAATTTCTCTTTTAATGTATGTTTTAAGGGTTTTGTTTATTGAAATTAAATTTAGTTTGTAGTTTTAGTCTTGAGGCCAAGTAGGATTGTGGAAGGTGTTGGAAATTAGTGTTTTTTTGTCAGAATTGAAAATGAATATTATAAGGAATTTACAGAATGATTTAGGCAACAAGCGAGGCTTCTTGATGGCCATGACAAATGTAAAATATCGCATAAAATATCCATCAGGAATGTGCAAATGTTATTCCGAATTGCCGATGATTTTTCCCTTCTCTGTCACGATAAATAATTAATTTAAAAATAGAATGTTTACTAATAAATCTAAACTTCAACATGGACAAAATTATCGTTATTAATTTTATTCGAAAATCATAAACAAAAAAAAAAAAAAATAGTAAAGTTTTCGGAGTCCTTTTGTCCCCATCAGCATGAAATTGTCGCAATTGTTCATTTTTAAAATTTTAAGAGGCTGCAAATTTGGATTGACGCTATCAAAAGTTTTCAAAGCTTTCGCTCGGCCAAAAATTGAATACGACGCTTTTACCATCTCAAATTTAACTAAAACTTCGGCAAAAAATAAAAGTTTTCTTTAAAAATGAACTTAGAAGAGCTTTGGCTGTGATAAGGACAACACTCTTACCAATCTTATAGCGGAACTACCATTTAATCTACCTGGATAAAATTAAATAAAATAAAACGACTAAGTCAACACCCTCTATGGAAATGTCTGGAGTAAATTAAAACATACGCCTTACGATCTCCATGGTACAATAAGGAGGTAGAGCAGTTTCGTAAAACTACAGAAATACAGTACTAGGCTATACCCGCTTCCTGCCAGAATTATCAAAAATTATATGCAACAAGTTTTCTCATTTATTTGAAAATTTTCCTCATTTTTAAAATGGGTTAAAAAGCGTGAACAAAGAATGAAATATCCGGATCTTCTTTCAAAAATATGATCCAAACTATTCAATCTTTCAATTCTATGGCAAAACTGATTATTATGCGCCCCCGTAATGTAAATTACTTTATTCAATCACTGATTTTGAAAATATTGCGTTTTTATATTTCAAAACAATAAATAAATACAGTAAATTGGCAGAAGTCGGGCACAATTAGAAACTAGATTAGCAATTTTAAACAGCTGGTAGCTCTACTTTACCATTTTATTGTGCCATGACGATTTCAAGACGATAAGTTGTAAGTTTGTTTATATTTATAATAAAAATTTTTGAAACATAATGTAAAATTGGCGGGAAAAAAGTATACATACAAAGTAGCAACTCCTACAAATATGAAAGAATGTAAACGCTGAGCAAGGGGAACTCCCATTTTTTTTGAAGTATTTTAGTGTGCAAAGTATTCCATAAAATTTTCTTGGTACATCGCGAGTCTTTATAAATGGAAAATCAAAAATAAACTCATATTTTATTTAGAATTATAATAATTACGTTACGTAAAGAAAATAATTCATATGAAGAAATCTTAAAAAAAATAATTAAAGCC